CAAGTCTCACAGTTTGTCTGAAAGTGAAAGAGGACATTCATCATCATATTACAAAAGTAAAATGGGTCACAAATTCCATTTCATGTTGAGTTTATTACCAGCATTTTAAAAGGCATACAGTGTGACCATCATACACAATCTGAAAACTTATTGTTTTATTGAACTGTTAATTGTTAGTAATATATGTCTAATAAGTTTTTTACAAATCTGAAAGGTAGCCTAAATGTTAAGGGAAGTCAGCTTTATTGTGTTTACAGAGAACCACAGCATACAAATAATAGGAAAATGAATTTAATAAGCGTAATATCTAATAATAAAAGCATACTATGATGATTTAAACACGAAATGAGAGTAATCTGTCATTTTTACCCCTGAATTGCATCCCACGTCCAGTATTAAACCGCGTTCAGAGCCGAGTTCGATGTCTTCCAGCAGAGTTTCTGGTATCAGACTCAGGCGATTCTCTGGCGGGTTGAAGGTGTAATAATTGATGAAGTTTCCATAAGGAGCAGCTCCTGGATCTTCGTTTTCCTCTTTATTCACATGGGGAACGTGAGTCTCCATGTCTGTCCAACAACAAAACAATTCCTGACGGCGCGCGTTGCCATAAAACGAACTAGTTCCTCATTTCGGATCGATTGTACACATTTATAAATTAAAAAAGGCAGCCATTACAAAGGTAAAAGTCCACATTTGGCATATTTGAGGTAAACGCACTAATATTAAACGACTCTAAAACAGTATTTATGTATAAGAAAGCTGACTAAAGCTTGTTTTCTGACTTTGTGGTTTAGATATAGAGCTGAGAAGCAAACTCGTGCCGATGTGTTGTAAAACCGAAGAGAAATACAAAGTAGTGCCGGATTCGCCAAAAAGCTTTTGTTGAAAGATGGAGCAAGGGGTGTGGCTGAACTGAAACGCCGTCTAAGCTGTTCGCCAATCACAACGCACTGGGACAGCTAACCAATCACAACACATTTTGTTTTTCGGAAGGCGGACCTTCATCAAAGCCGGAACTAATCGAGCCGTTTATGCCAGGCTGGGGAGAGAGGTGCTGTAATAATGTAAATTGTGTGAAAAATAATGCGTTTTTCGAACCACCAAGCATGAGAGCATGTTCTAGTACACCCCCAAAACAAAATCAAGACTTTGTAAAAGAGCATAATAGGACCCCTTTAAGGTTTGTGTTTGATTAGCCAGCCTTTACAGACATAACACATTCTTTTTAGGTTTGCAGAACATTCTTATTTGGTTCCCCCACCTCACCTATGGCAAACATTCTGTTTTCTGAGATGCTACTAATTCAACTCTGTTTTCACAGATCCATCATGCTCAGTGGGAAGCGCATCGCTGATGCAGGTTATAAGCTCTTCTCGGGCTCCATGATGCTGTTGACGGTGTACGGCGGATACCTGTGCGTCCTGCGGGCTCAGCGATACATGCAGAGACAGAAACAGCTGGAGGCACAGAATGAGAGCGCGGCTTCAGAAACTATTAAAGACTGAAGACACGGGCTGTAAATAATCAGTTAACCTGACACTGATCATGTCACACGGATGGGACAGTATGTGGCCCAGCAGATTGTCAGCAGAAACCCACCGGCGTTCGTGACCCTCGAAGGGTTCATTTGCCTTTTTTGTGGAGTTCAGTGAGATCTTATGTGTTGTAATATATTAAATGATCCTTGTTAAATCTACTATCATGAGTGTTTGTGCATGTCCTATAGATCTGTAGGTTCCCACAGCTGTTAACACATGATTTGACCATGTTTTTCCAGGTGTGAAAATTATTTAAATAGTTTTTGTCCATTTAAATAAAGCTGAAATAAAACATAAATATTAGATGAAAAATTTAAATCGATCAGCCAACTGAAAACAAGTTTAGACTGAAGTACTAAAATAATACTATATCTTAAATATAAATTAAAACTAAGTAGAAATTATGTTTAAAACAAAATGGCAAAAGCACATACAATTACTACAACTTAAGTTAACGGAAAATATAAAAATAAAAGCAAATTCAAAATATTAAACACTATAAAGTGTATAAATATTATTAAAGTAACTGTTTTATTCAACATACCAGTAGCTCTGAACTGGGTTTGCTTCAGGACCTAGATATTATTTAACATTAATTTAGTTATTATTTGCATTTAGCATTTACAATGCTCATTATGATCGGGAAATTCCAACTTTTCTGCAGTATATAAATGAAAATTTTTAAAGAATTCAAAATTGACTACACTTTTCACAGGAAACTACACTTTTAAAATTCCACGGGAACCCTAAACTTATTTCATTTTTCATATTTTATTTCTTCGCATATTTGTTTCATTTAATCCACCCTGATTTCCAGTGGAAGGTAAAACACTCCCCAATTAAATCAAAAAGCATCTCATTACAGGAAAAAGTCCCAGCTTTCATTTTAATAACCTTATTTGGTTTCCAAACATAAAAAAGCTAAATGAAAAACAGCACAGGAAACAAATTACAAACACATCAGTTACCAAAACAAACAATGAAAACAAAAAGAGAGGCAACTGTATATGGAAACTCAAGTACATCTGACCATTAAAATCTGAAGAGAATCTTCTTCCATGACTTCAGTAAAACGAAGCGTGGAAAAGAAACATCTTCTCAACTCCCAAGACAAGGAAACGAGGGAATGTAAATATCACTAATATAATCATTTTTCTCTTTCACAAGCTTCTCATTGTGGCTATAATGTCATTACTGTCCCATCATCACCGGAATGATGCCCCAATCTCTGTCATCGAGTCTCAAAAGTCCCACAACAGGGTGATTTTGTTGGTGTTTTTCGGGTTTTGTGTTGGAGTGAGGTACAGGGGATGAGCAATAGTCCCAACACGATATTTCTGGGACACGAGTTCTTTGTGCGTAAGGCCACGCGGAGGGAGCGTCACCAGTTGTTGTGGTTCTGGCTCCAGGGTTTGGAGCCAAAATGGCCGTTGGTGCCGTTTTCTCCTCGGGATGAAGCTGTCTTGAGTCGCTCTTTGGGTGACGTTTCGGTTTCTTCCTCCGAGCTGCTTTCGATGTCGCTGCGGTCGTCTTTGGACACCTGGAACGACATTTAGGGTATTAGTTGTAATACTTTGAATGGTCTGGATGTAGTATGTTAATTTTATAAAATTATTTTATCAACTTGTTTAATGGTTTTATAAGCAGACCAATCCAATGGTCGCTTTTTAAATTAAAGGACTATTTTGGTTCTCTGGCTGGAAAATGTTCGCAGCCTTCCTCTAGAGGGCGCTTGGGTGCTTTAAAAGCAAAATCCTCCACTCAAAGATGTAGATGAGTTTGTTTGTTCATCAGATTTGGAGAAATGTTGCATTACAGCACTCACTCACCAATGGTTCCTCTGCAGTGAATGGGTGCCGTCAGAATGAGAGCCCAAACAGCTGATAAAAACATCACAACAATCCACTCCACTCCACTCCAGTCCATCAATTAACATCTTGTGAGGCGAAAGCAGCATGTTTGTAAGAAACAAATCCATCATTAAGAAGTTTTAACTTCAAATTGTTGCTTTTGGCTAAAATATGACTCCATAATCCATAGTAACGCTTCCTCTAGTGAAAATCCTCAGACAGTTTAGAGCTGTTTTGGCTTGTAAACAATGTTTCATCCATGCAGATGTCTCTCCTGATTCAGACGAGACAACTTTTTCACTGGAGGAAGCATTATTATGGATTATGGAGTCATATTTTAGCCAGAAGAGATGGTTTGACGTTAAAAGTTAGTTGAAGTTAGTTTCTTACAAACAAGTAGCTTTTCACTTCACAAGACGTTAATTGATGTTGTGGATTACTTGTGGATTATTGTGATGTTTTTATCAGCTGTTTGGACTCTCATTCTGACGGCACCCATTCACTGCAGAGCATCCACTAGTGAGCAAGTCATGTAATGCTACATTTCTCCAAATATGATAAAGAAACAAACTCATCTACATCTTGAATGGCCCGAGGGAGATTAAATGTTCAATGAAATATAATTTTTGGAGTAAACTAGTCCTTTGAAACACACTCAGTTGAATTCACATTTCAGGCTGCTACAAAATGAACCAGGAAATCAAGTAAAGAAAGCAGACTTACAGCCGAAGAAACTGAGAGAGAGGGAAAGACCCTAAAGCGAGCGAGTTTAGCAGAAATAGCAAAAGATTTCTATCAGGACAGAAGCTGAAAGACGGGAACAGCCTTCCAGCAGCTAGAGAGGGGAAAGACAAACCAGCTCTGCAGGAGAGAAAGATAAAAAGAGAAAACGCATGTAACTACACAACATGAACTTGGACCTCCTGAACATGTGGCTCAGAGCGAGTGAATAACAGCGGGTTTGTGCGCACCTTTCCTCTCATGATGGCTTTGAAGGCGATGCGGGAGATGAGGTAGGACCAGAGGATGTGCAGCACCTGCAGCACCAGCAGCAGAAAGTTGAAGAGCCACCAGGACGGGTACGGCCCGATGATCGCCCAGCTCTCGAAGAGCGTCGTGTTCAGAATCCTGCAACAACAAAACACTTCATCTTATCTAAACATATGGGGAGAATTCCTTTTACCAATCATTTTACCATTATTTGTAAATGTTACCAGTAAACTGGATGAAGCGTTTTTATGGATTATGGAGTCATATTTTAGCCAGAAGCAAAAGTTTGAAGTTAAAGAGCCTTCCAGCAGCTAGAGAGGGGAAAGACAAACCAGCTCTGCAGGAGAGAAAGATAAAAAGAGAGAAAACGCATGTAACTACACAACATGAACTTGGACCTCCTGAACATGTGGCTCAGAGCGAGTGAATAACAGCGGGTTTGTGCGCACCTTTCCTCTCATGATGGCTTTGAAGGCGATGCGGGAGATGAGGTAGGACCAGAGGATGTGCAGCACCTGCAGCACCAGCAGCAGAAAGTTGAAGAGCCACCAGGACGGGTACGGCCCGATGATCGCCCAGCTCTCGAAGAGCGTCGTGTTCAGAATCCTGCAACAACAAAACACTTCATCTTATCTAAACATATGGGGAGAATTCCTTTTACCAATCATTATTTGTAAATGTTACCAGTAAACTGGATGAAGCGTTTTTATGGATTATGGAGTCATATTTTAGCCAGAAGCAAAAGTTTGAAGTTAAAACATCCCAATGATGGATTTGTTTCTTACAAACACGCAGCTTTTGGCTTCACAAGATGTTAACTGATGGACTGGAGTGGTGTGGATTATTGTGATGTTTTTATCAGCTGTTTGGACTCTCAATCTGACGGCACCCATTCACTGCAGAGGATCCACTGGTGAGCAAGTCATGTAATGCTACATTTCTCCAAATCTGATGAAGAAACAAACTCATCTACGTCTGCTTTAATATTTTGTATACTACTGATATTTACTATTTTCTCACGAAAAATGAGTACTTAATTTTGACAATGTGTACCACAAACATTTGTCGTCATATTTTCAGATTTTGAGACAGTTTTAAAAGAACATATTAACAATATCTATGTTTACATCCAAAGTTGAGAATTTAACTTGAAATATCACAGAAACATTTGTGAACAAATCACTATTTCTATCCCATGCATTCAAGATAATAAAATAGCCACTTCCTGGGAAACTGGCACAAAGTATCAATAATACAAATATTGGATATATAATGAATAAAACAAATGACCTCATTACATAACATATTATAACCTAAGCATTCAAATAATCATCATTTACATTAACTTGTTGTTTTGATAAAATAAGTAATAGAAAATTAAAAATAATGTTTGATAACAATATCTATGTTTACATCCAAAGTTGAGAATTTAACTTGAAATATCACAGAAACATTTGTGAATAAATCACTATTTCTATCCCATGCATTCAAGATAATAAAATAGCCACTTCCTGGGAAACTGGCACAAAGTATCAATAATACAAATATTGGATATATAATGAATAAAATAAATGACCTCATTACATAACATATTATAACCTAAGCATTCAAATAATCATCATTTACATTAACTTGTTGTTTTGATAAAATAAGTAATAGAACATTAAAAATAATGTTTGAATTATTAATGTACTCTAAAACTAATATGGTTTTCATGATCTGTCGGCATTAAAACTATTATTTGTTTTTAATTAAATAAGAAAGTAATAATGAAAATTTGCCATTCATGTTTTGATATTTTACTTTTAACATTTCTATTACATTAATTGTTGATAAATCCTCATTAAAATAAAATAAGAAGGTGAAGGCCATTTAGGATCTTGTTTTTATGCAATTTGAAATCTATGGCATGACAACTAAACATTCTACACTGATTCTTATTAAAGTTATAAAGGCATTTATTTAATTACTATTACACAGCAATGCAATAATTTACTACTGAATTTCATTTCAGATGATTTTCATTAAAATTTTCTTTTCATTTAAATTTCTAAAATGCTTGAGACTTTCAACACTTTTAATACTAATTTTAGTATTAATATATAAATGACCTCATTACATAACATATTATAACCTAAGCATTCAAATAATCATCATTTACATTAACTTGTTGTTTTGATAAAATAAGTAATAGAACATTAAAAATAATGTTTGAATTATTAATGTACTCTAAAACTAATATGGTTTTCATGATCTGTCGGCATTAAAACTATTATTTGTTTTTAATTAAATAAGAAAGTAATAATGAAAATTTGCCATTCATGTTTTGATATTTTACTTTTAACATTTCTATTACATTAATTGTTGATAAATCCTCATTAAAATAAAATAAGAAGGTGAAGGCCATTTAGGATCTTGTTTTTATGCAATTTGAAATCTATGGCATGACAACTAAACATTCTACACTGTGATTCTTATTAAAGTTATAAAGGCATTTATTTAATTACTATTACACAGCAATGCAATAATTTACTACTGAATTTCATTTCAGATGATTTTCATTAAAATTTTCTTTTCATTTAAATTTCTAAAATGCTTGAGACTTTCAACACTTTTAATACTAATTTTAGTATTAATACGAATACTAAATTAATGCTATTAATATGCAGTTAGTATTAGTATGCAATATTTAGTATAATAGAAAGTGATAAGCAAGCAATAAGAGGCTGTGCTGTATTGTGAATAAGTCACAGCTGAAGGGCGTTGTTAGACACGAGTCACTGCAACCCCTTCACTCATTATTCATTACATAAATAATAAACAGTTCATTTTACTGAATACATAACACATGGAACAGTTTTGACACTACATTATTGATTGCTTATGTAGCTAAGGGTGTTGCTCAGTGATACACAGAACCGGATGAAACGGTCATAGCTGTTCTTTATCGTGAATAAACACAGCTGCTGTCCAATCAGAATCAAGGACTGGAACTGGTTTTAGAAAACAGTATAGAGAATCTTTAAGGCATATATTAGTGATTTCTCTATGTGATGTCCTGCTGATTGAGTGTGGTATCTGCGGCGGAGGTCAGTGGATTTGGACTGTGTGTCGGTTCTGTCATCATGATACCAAAACCCAGACACTGAATCCAGCCGCTCGGGTTTCGCTCTGCCATCAGCGACTCTCAAACACAGTTAATTGGACTATTAAATGATGAGACACACACACACACACACACACGGATGTGATACTGACCAGAAGGGGAAAATGATCAATCTCATCCCGAAGAAGATCATACTGAACACCACAAACAAGAAGTCACATAAACGCTGGTATTTGGCATAGTTTGCTAACTTTGCGGCCTATAAGATAAAAAAAAAGAATGAATAAATACATAAAACAAATATTCATTAAAAAATGTTGCATTTGGAAAAAATACAGTAGGATAGAATTTTATACATCAATACTTGTTTAAATGCAGTTTATATACAGTTATATAATGTTTTTCTTTCTTGATTTGTAATAAAACATTCTACAACTAAAACCAAAAATTTAATTTGAATTAAAATCTTTAAAAAATGTTAAATGAAATAAAACAAATATATAAAAAACCCTTAAAGGGTTAGTTCACCCAAAAATTAGAATTCTGTCATTAATTACTCGCCCTCGTGTCGTTCCAAACCCGTAAGACATTCGTTCATCTTCGGAACACAGTTTAAGATATTTTTTATGGAATCTGAGGGCTCTCTGACCCTCCCATAGACAGCAAGGTAACTACCACGTTCAAGGTCCAGAAAAGTACCAAGATGATCGACAAAGTAGTCCGTGTGACATCAGTGGTTCAACTGTAAAGTTACGAAGCTACGAGAATACTTTTTTGCGCAAAGAAAACAAAAATAACGACTTTATTCCACATTTTCATCTCTACCGCGTCACTTGTGGACGCGCGTCCACGAAAGTATCATGACGCGAGCGTGTGGCGGCGCTGACCCAGATCCGGCGTGATGACTTAAATTTACTTAAAAATATCTTAAATTGTGTTCCGAAGATGAACGAAGGTCTTACGGGTTTGGAACAACACGAGGGTGAGTAATTACCGTACTGGCCTGAATATAAGACGACCCCCCTTTTCTCAGATGTACCTTTTGGAAAAAGGCTTTTTAAAAACCAAATCTTGTTTTTTCTCAGTAAAACACATTTTGTCTTCAATTATTTTCATATTGCATATTTTTCCTATTTTAATTTTTGTTTTGAAAGTATGGTAAAATCTGGTAAAATTTACCAACAATCACATTTAAAAAATATACACTTTTTGATATTCCATAAAAAACAAATAAAAAAAAAACCGGTAGCCCATCTGAATTAGGACATTTAGGCTATCCATCTAATAGTAGCCTACCAAAATCTTCTTAACAGTAGAAGTTAAATCTTACTGTAGTCTTCAAATCTGGGTATTGTCTAACGTTTTAAAATCACAAAGAGAGTTTGGTCCCATCAGGCTAACGTGACAGTCACGACTCATGCAGCTGTAAGCTTTTCTTTAGTTTTTACTCGCGATCTTTACAACACGCATTATATTACGTATTTCATGGCACACTCGTTTTATGCGTATTTGGCGTCACCTATTGTTGTGGGTGTATTATTGGCATGTCAAAGTCTAGACCCTGAATATAAGACGACCGCGTTTTTTCAGAGGTATTTCCAAGAAAAAAACATCGTCTTATATTCGGGTCAATACGGTAATGACAGAATATTCATTTTTGGGTGAACTATCCCTTTAAACTTATTGTATTTTCTTTTTTTAGGTAAGCTGTCAAGGCGACATTTAAAAATTAAAATTAATTAATAAACAAAAACACTAAATAGACGTAAAAAAAGAATACAAATGACAAAAACACAACAAAATGACTATACCTAAAATTGAAATGACAATGGAAAGTGTGAAAATTTTATTAGTATATTAATGGTACTAAAAAGTGCATTTAAATGCTAATTTCTAAATGGTAATATTATAATAAAATAACAATAATATTTGGTATCCATCTATCTATACTAAAAATAAAATGATAAAATACATGTTGATTTATAATTTTATTTTATTGTAATATATTGCATATACATTATTCGTTACATTTATAATATTATTATAAATGTAATGTATAATATATATGCAATATATAACAATAATATTATTAGAAAATAATACAGGTATTTTTGAATATATCTGTTTTGTAAATGCTGCTCATGTAGCACTGAATAAAATATCAAAATACTAAGCGCAATTTCACTTCAAAATCTAATTAGATGTTGATTTAGAAATCAATCATTCATGTACCATAGAGGAAAAAAGTTAATGTGGATAATTTTGTATAAAATTACACACTGCTCCTCAGTTAAATGCTGGCTGATGAATATTATGCAGAATAACGTGACAGTAAAAGCATTGTTATGCGTTCTCACCTCCATCAGGAAGTCCGATGTGTCGTGAACGCACATGACCAGACTCCCCACACGCAACATGTTATTTACATACGAGAAACTGATCAGGCTGATCGTCGCCAGATGATGAACGAACATGATGAGGAAATCCTGCAGAAACACACGGGAAATATGTAAAAAAAAACGACCAGCAGGACACGAAAATATGACGCAAATTAAACACGAGCGCACAAAAACAATTCAGATTTGTAACTTTTCCCTTCAAGCTGCAAACAGCAGCCGAATTCTCCAGATTGTTTCCACCGTGTCTATAAATATAGAGGAACAACATCTCTCGGTTATGATTGAGTCAAAACTCTGGGCTCATAATGGCCACGGCCACGGGCCGTATCTTAAACAAATAGACGAGCCGCACCCTGAAGATGCTCTTCAAACGCTGGCGTTATGTGTCTTTACGAGCGAGAAACAGAAATACAATACAGAAACAAAAGCCATGTGCGTCTGACAGCTGCCGAGTTCATTGTGTAGTTTAAGGCCTTTTCCTTCTCTAACACACCGATCTTGAGTAGTTTAATCTGTATCACCTGACAGAGCTGCTGACGCGAGGCGGTGGAGAACAATGCTTTGTTAAGCATGTAAAACAGCAGGATTTTGACCTTACAGTCGATATATATAGATATATAAAAAAACGACTTTGAATATGTACGCCTGATGTGTTGAGAGAGGAGAGAAGTGAATTAAATAATGGATTAAACACAGTAGAAATGAATAGATGGCGTTTGATTCAGGAACGCTCACCTTTCTTTTGACGTCTGTGAACTGTGAGAACATGAGCGACCAGTAGAAGGCCAGTTCTGTTATATAATAATAATACAGGCCTGAGGTCAGCACCTGTAGGACACACACAGTTTCACACACAGTTTACAGAGTAGAAATTACATACGAGTAAACTGTTAAAATGCCAGGTGATGAATAAAATAAAATAATAAAATGAAATAAATAAAAATTAGCATTAGTGAACAGTTTTTTTTATAATGTGAAATCTTATTTATGATGCATTATGCATTTACTCCCTAAATCCTAATTGTATCATAAATAAAATAAGCAAACAATTAAATAAATACATGCTTAATGTACGTAAAATTAAAAATGTGAAATCAACTGTAGGAGCATTGAGATTGTTTTATTTATTTATTATTATGTTGTTCATGACAGTGCATTTACTCCGTAAATCCTCATTATAAAATAAAATCATTTAATTTTATTTAATGCATGAAGTGACAAACATTTTAGGATCTTTAAGATTGTTTTTTTTTTTTTGCGATGTGAAATTTCTTTCAAGACAACCAAGCACATTTATTATCCAAATCGTTATTATTTTTAATAATACATTTGAATAACAATACAATACATTAGGGATGTAATGATTCACTCAATTCACGATTCGATTCGATTCACGATTTTGATTTCACGATTCGATTCACGACTTTTTTTTTAAACAAAATGAGATTTAAGACAAATTATAAATTAAACGTGTCCTATTATTATTGCTTGGACAAAATACTGTAAGTTTCTTTGTGAAATATAAATATAATAATATATTAATATAGCACTTGTAAATTATTGCTCTTTTGTTGGTTTTGAATGCTTCTATTGTCCTCATTTGTAAGTCGCTTTGGATAAAAGCGTTTGCTAAATGACAAAATTTAAATATAATGTATTTTTTTTAAATATTCTAAAACAAGCCCCAAATCAAATAAATAAGTAACACAAATAAAATAAATCTCTTCATATAAACAAACTAAGGCTTTGTCTGTGCTCTTTCCATTTAAAATGAGAGGCAACCACTGCATTTTAATCACGATCCAAACAAAGATGCTGCATGCATGCAACATGAGCAGTTTTTAATCTACATTAGATTGTATAATTTCAGAATTTCAAAAAGAATGGTTTGACTTCAGTTTTGTGAAATTATGCATAAAAAATCTCTGCATGAAACCGAAACAGACGAGCTGAATGAGACGCAGATTCACTCTCTGCCAGCAGGTGGCGCTTAAAGCGTTTCTTTGGTTTCCGCTGCAAACAAAGCAGCGCTGCACTTATGAACTTTAATATGCATTATACAGAGGTAAGAGGAAAAGAAAAAATACCATAGAAAGACAGTAAGTTCCCCTCAGACATGCATTAATATAAACTCCTACCCCTAACTGAATCGTGATTTGTTTAGCATCTCAACCGATTTAAATCGTCACATATTAAAATGCTAATACTGTATAGCACTTTTCTAATACCCAAAGTGCTATACAGTATTATATATAAAAATATATATTTTTTGCAATCATTTATATTCTTAAGAATTGTTTTATTTTGCTTATGACAATTTAAATTAGCATAAATTCAACAACGACAAAAAAAAACGTGTCCTTTGCAGTTTTCCTTTATATCCTCTTATATTGTGGGTTGTTTGCACAATTTAAACATAACGGGCAAAAGATTTGTGAAAATGTCAAGGTTCACTGTTAAGATTCACTTGAACCCACATCAGAAGATGGCAACATTTTAAGCGTTACCTGATAAGGGTAATTGTACCAGCAGTGTCTCGTATCCCACATCCAGGGATACTAGAAAACACACACACACACACACACACACACACGGATTTAAAAAAATTACACAAATGGCCCAAACAGTGATATCCGTCTGTAATTCTACATCTTTCAGTTGTAGCTCACCTGCCACAGGAAACGGATCCCATATGTAAATATATACAGATAGAATGTAAACCTCCACCTGCAGAGAAAGCAGAGAAAACAATTGACCGAAACTCAAACACACGGCTGCATGTGAGAGTAACCACAGAGTATAGCAATCAGAAAGGAAATGTTGAACACAATCCCATCAATTCAATCACGTGTTGGGAAACATGGCAGCCAGAGGCCTGATTTCACTGCTGAATTATAGAGAATGAGGGTGGATCTTTTGTTTGACAACAGATGAATCTGATATGACTAAATCAGGAAAGACCCCATAGGGCTCTATTTCCTAAATATATGACGGTAGACAACAACCTGATCCTCCAACATCAACATGCATTTATATTTTCACGGCCAATCTAGAGCACTTGCAGTGAAACTGTGATTGACAGAAAAACCGACCAATGGAGGAAGAGACTCCGCCCACCACCCACTGTACAAGTTATTTTCCATAGAAATCTCAAAACATTCCTCAAAGATTTCTAATGAACCAAATCATCTCTAAGATGAATTTTTATTAGCTTGTGTACTAATACTTGAGTAGCTTATACTAGAAAATTGACAAATGGTGTAGTCCAAATATCGATGATAATTTCCTCATCACTTTCCATAAAAGTGTCTATAAAATAAAACATTTTAGACGGCATATTTTTATTAATTTCTATATGCTAATGCACTATAAATGCACTAGCAGAAAAGCATTAAAACGTACATGCTCTCGCAAAACTTGGTTCTTGTGCTGGGTTTGTCCTGGTTCCGCCGGTGGCGAAACCATCGCTGGACCTTCCTCACGTCCCAGTCCAGCTGCTTAGACAGACCCTCTAAGTGCCTCGAGTCTGGGGACTGGAATAAACAAGAAAAATTGTAAATGTAATTGTAATTTGTAAATTGTAAATGAGTAAATGTAATCATATCTCAAATTATTCTTCATTGTATTGTGGAATTATGGAATTATCATTTTATTTATTTGTCCTATAAAAGACACACAAGTAATTAATATTTTTAATTTTTTTGCATAACTTGACAATTTAATTTAAACTGGAAATGACAAAAAAAAAGTATAACTTAAAGGGTTAGTTCACCCAAAAATGAAAATTAGGCTGTGTTTTACTCACTCCCGAGGCTTCCTAGGTGTATATGACTTTCTTCTTTCAGACGATTCCAGTCGGAGTTGGATGGTCCTGGCTATTCCAAGCTCTATTATTGCAGTCAGCGGGTGTTGCAGTGCTTCAGTCCAAAAGAAGAGAAATAAAAAGCGCCCATCCATTAAAAAAAAAAAAAAA